TAGAGAAATGCAGATTAAAACAACTCTGAGGTACCACATCACACCTATCAGATTGGCTAACATGACAAAACAGGAAAATGACAAATGTTGGAGAAGATGTGGGAAAATTGGAACATTAATGCATTGCTGGTAGAGTTGTGAACTGATTCAGCCATTCTGGAGAAAGCAATTTGGAACTATGACCAAAGGTCTATAAAAATGCGCATACCCTTTGACCCAGCAATACCACTTCTAGGTCCATATCCCAAAGAGATCACACAAACAGGAAAAGGAACCACATGTGCAAAAATATTTATAGCAGCTGTTTTTGTGGTGACCAAGAATTGGAAAATGAAGGGATGCTCATCAATTGGGGAATGGCTGAATAAACTGTGGTATATGAATGTAATGGAATACTATTGTGCTATAAGAAATGATGAGCAGGTGGACTTCAAAAAACCTGGAAAGACTTATACAAACTGATGCTGAGTGAAGTGAGCAGAACCAAGAGAACATTGTACACAGTAACAGCCACATTGTGAGATGACTGACTTCTCACCAATGCAAGGATCTAAGAAAACTCCAAAAGACTCATGAAGGAAAATGCTATCCACATCCAGGAAAAGAACCATGGAATCTGAATGGAGATGGAAACATACTATTTGCTCTACTTTTCTTTTGTTGTTTTATTTTATTTCTTCTTTCTTATGGTTCCTCCTGTTAGTTCTAATTCTTCTATATATCATGACTAATATGAAAATAGGCATAATCTATATTATGTATATGTATATGTATAAGTAGAGCCTATATCAGATTACATACCATCTTGGGGAGGGAGGAGTAGAGGGAAGGGGAGAAAATTTAAAAATAAAAACCTTATGGAAGTGAATGTTGAAAACTAAAAATAAATAATTTATTTTTAAAAATTAAAAAATAAACAAAAAATAAAATGAATGTGCATGTGTCTGTAACAAAAAAAAAAAAAGAAAATTGTCTGGGGGTACAGAAGGTTAAGTGACTTGCCTAAGGTGACGCAGCTGGTATTTCAGAGGCAGGTCTTGAACCCAAACATGTCAGCTTCCTAAACACATGACTGACTGACCACACCCGATAAACAGGGAAGTATAGTTCTAATCCTATATGTTGCTTATTTTCTGATCTTCCTTCTAATATAGTAGTAAGAAATAAATTTGAGCTCAAATATCAGGAAAACATTTTTAATAGTAAGATTTATTCCATAAATTGAATAAGATGCCTGCAGAACTCTTCAAATATAGGCTGTGTGACTACTTGTTAGGTATATTACTGTAAGGATGCCTTTGAATATGGGTTAGACTTGCTATAGCTGAGGTCCTTTCCATCTCCCAAATTCTGTGATACTATTAAGAGACCTATGAACAGGGAATATGAAGCTGGTCATTTAAAAGAACATTTTACTCCTTTTGTGTTTCAAAAATAATGCCATGTTTGTCTACTATGGATTGATGGGCCTGGGAGATTTCTCCATTCTTTGAAAGGTATTAAGCAAACTCATGGAGACACCATGATTTCAGATGACAAAAAGAAATTATTGAAGTGTTGAGTCATATCTAGGAAGTCTTTCACATGGGACAACACATAGAGCACAGTCCAACAGAGTCCCATCCATGCCCAAATGGTTAAGGAAAAAGATCATACTGGGAGAGTTACAATAATAATGGAATCCTAGGAATGGCAGCCTAGACTGAGCAAGAGAAGGATTCTGTACCATCTCAGGGCATTCACAGGGCAGTAAAGGACAGTGAAGGGGAAGAGGAAAAATGCCTAGAGCATAAGACAGGCTCTACCTATTTTCAGACTAAGTGTCACCTAGGACCAAATCTCTGGACTATGATAGAGAAGAAGCATGCACTGCCATGCTTGTTCTTCCAAAGTCCTAGTCAGCCCCCTCCTCCTTTTTATGGCTCTCATGAAGTAGCATTAATAAAGTTTGCAAATTTTTAAAAGTTTGTTTATTTGCTGTTACCTATTTGTGAAAGGAAAACCAGCAAAAGCAATTGGATTTTATTTTCAAATGGGATAGAGTATTTATGATCCTTCTATTGAACAGTGCCCAGGAGGCCACTGCCTACAAAGGCATGCCAACCTTGGACTCACTTGAGCCAGTCTTCTGCAAGAAATCTGACTCCTGAGAGCTGAACTGCTAAGGGAGAATCAATTCTTCCAATCCCTGCTCTCTGGCTCCACAGGGGATCCCCGGAGAAACTCTTACACAAAGGTTAGGGTCTATGCTCTCTCCTAAAGGAATTTATAGAGTCCTAGAAAAATTGTTCAGGGAGGGAAGGGGAGAAAATTTAAAACTCAAAAGCTTTTGGAAGTCATTGTTGAAAACTAAAAATAAATAAACTTTTTTAAAAAAAGAAAAATTGTTAATGTACTAAGTAGTATATACCAAGTATAAGACAGCTAGTTATTTCTCCTACTACAAAATAAATTCTTAGAATAAAGATTCATAAGCATGCACTGGCAAATATTTAAACATGAAACTCTAACCCATTAATCCTATTATACTTTTCTAGGAGGTTAATAATTAAAACAAGAAACACTTTGTGGGTCGTTCGAAGGGATATTTCACTTTCAGCTAGGATCTTCATTGTCTGTACAACTCACTCAAACTTCATATCATACGGACATCTGTTAGTTCTTGGTCAAAATTCCTAGAAGTGATAATCCTCTGATAAGGATGTACAAGAATATTTATAGCAGCTCTTTCTGTGGTGGCAAAGAATTGGAAATCAAGGGAATATCTATCAAATGGATAATGGTTGAATAAGTAATGATATACAATTATGATGGAATGCTATCATGCTGTAAGAAACAATGAGGGGGATGGTTTATATGATTTATATGAACTGAGACAAAGTGAGTCAGGAGAACCAGGAGAAGGTTGTACACAGTAACAGCAATATTGTAATGATGATCAACTGTGAAAGACGTCTAACTGTGAAAGACAAATTTTTATATGACATTAGAAATATTCCAAAAGACTCAAGATAAAAAATGCTATCCACATCCAGAGAGAAAACTGATGAATTCTGAGCAGAATGAAGCATACTTTCTCCCACTTATTTCATTTTTCTTGCTTTTTTTTTGCAACATGGCTAATATGGAAATAATTTTTACGTAACTTCACATGTATAATTGATAACCTATTGCTTACTTTCTCAATGGGTGGGGGAGAGGCTAGAAGGAGGGAAAGAATTTGGAACTCAAAAATTTAAAAATGAATGTTCAAATAAAATATATGTGTATAAATGTATATGTATACATATGTATACACATATGCATATCTATACATGCTACTCTTTATCTCTATATCTCTACATCTATCTATACATGTCCCTAATTTCCAGCTTACCTCCCTAGAAACTTCAGGGAATTGTCCCTTGAGTGAGACTGAGGTATTTCTCTTGGTTGAACTGAGATATCTTACTTCTAGTAGGAAAGCTCGTTCCTTCTGTGTATTGTCTAGTATATTGCCTAGTATTACTTCTCTGATTTCTCTTGGCTATCTGCTCGGAGAAATTGTTTTAGTTGCTATTCACTATTTATTATGCTCTTTTTTGTTACTAGCATTAGGTGGGAAGGAGTCAAGTCCTCAGACATAAGTTTGGGGATAGCAGCCAATAAAGTGTCTTGAACCTAAGAAAAAAATTATTCCTTTAGACTAGAAATATTAAGAAGGGGAGTAGAAAAATATAATTCTAATGTGGTACCACCTGTCTGAATAGAGCAAGGAAGCCAGCCCTCTCTAGGCAGGAGTCAAAGTCTCTCTTGGAGATGAGTGAGCAAGATTCCTGAGATATTTATTAAAGCCTCACTGTGAGCTGCATTTAGTCAGCCCATGTGGACATTTATGTAACCGACATGGAAAACATACACACACCCCCAACATATATGTGATTTATCATGAGAGAAGGTATTCCCACACCAAAGAAATCATAGTTCATTAACGTGTTTTACAATTCTATTTATATTAAGAGTAATAAGGTTATAGTAAGACAATCTGTCACATATAATTCTCTTGAACCTAATGTGAAGACAGAACTAACCAAGTTTGTTTTCAGGTTTTTTTTTTTTAACTATCCCACAGGAGGAGAATCTAGAATGTTTTAATAGACTTGAAAAATTTCATAGTAATTAATTTAACCTTGAAAAACCTGTGTGTGTGTGTGTGTGTGTGTGTGTGTGAATATCTATTAGTGGGTTAAAGAAAGATCCTATAAAATCATTCACCATTTATTTCCTCTGTCATTTTCTAGTGTCAAATAAATATTTGTCAAAATTCCATGGAATTATTTTACAAGTGGAGTTTGACTTTAGGTGTTGGTAAATGGACTGAGTTTACCCTCTTGTGGGAGGGAAGTATTATTTAGTATTACAGATTTAAATCTCGAGGAGATCTTAGACATTACCTAGTCCAAACCCCTCATTTTACAAATGAAATAACTAAAGAGCAGAGAGTCGAAGTGACTTGTCCAAAGTCAGATAGGTTACAGAGCCAGGATTTGAGCCTATTTCCTCTAATTTCAAAGCCAACATTCTTCCACACCACCTCCAATCATTTTTAGAGTTCTGTTGCTTTTTCTTCTTTGTCCATTGTGTAAGCATTATTGTTGTTGTTCGTTGCTGTTAGCCTCCTCATCTCTCCCGATTCAGTTTTTTCTTCTCCCTAATTTGGGCCAAGTTATGAACAATACCAGGGGCAAGTCTAGAGAAGCCTAGTCAAACTATTTAATATTTGTGACTGCAGCAAATCTGCTGGCTTTGCGTTGGTAAGCCAAAGTCCACAGTCTATTTGTTTACCAGCATAGCCGTTCCATTCCTAGCACAGCCTATAACAATCACTTCTCTGTTGAGGAAGGGGTGAGGGAGGAGATAGCTCATGGCTTACTCTGTCCTTCTGGTTGGCATTGAGCATTAGTAGGAAATTGTATAAAGAAGGTACATTACTCTATCATTTTAAGAAGAGAAGTCAGGCTATGTTTGGAATCCTCAATTTCTCCCTCTTAGCTGTCCCTATGGCTTTAGGGTTAATGCATGGCTGGGGTTACCTGTTCTGGATAACTCTTCTAGGATTACTACTGCTAGCCTGGAGAAAAGTTGCATTCTCTGTAGCATCTCATCAGAAAAGAAGTGATCTGACTGGCAAAGCAGTGCTCATCACCGGCTGTGATACTGGCTTTGGGCATTCACTGGCCTTAAGACTATTCCATCTTGGCTTCACTGTATTTGCTACTTGCCTTTTTCCAGATGGGGAAGGAGCAAAAAGTCTGAGGCAGGAGGCAGGAACTAGCCATCGTCTGCATGTTTTCAAACTCGATGTCACTCAGGATCAAGATGTGGCTGATGCCAAGGACTTCCTCCTGAAGAATCTGCCTGAAAACAGTATTTTTTTCCCTTCCTTTAGAGCAGACTCCCAGCTATTCCATGTCCCCAGGACACCTTGAGAGCTGACACCTACCCTCACAAAGAGTATTAGCTTTGCACCCAGGCAGGGTTTGCTATAGGTAAGAGTGAAGACTAATTAATGTCTGGATCCCAGGCTTCAGGGAGAAAGGTGTATGGAGGAGAAAGGAGTAGTTTCTAAGACTGCAACCTAGTATCAGCACAGTCCACTGGGATTTCTCCCAGTTTAAAATTCTCAGTTACATCCTGTCCCTAGGGGAAAAAGAGTGGTGGAACATGCTAGAAATTTTCTTTCCCTCCCTGAGCCTCTTTCATACCAGGTCTCTTTCACTCCTCTTAAACTTTCTCTGCAGAGGAGGGATAGTTTCATTTTTTGGCACTTATCTCTCCAGTGCCTAGCACAGTCTCTGACACACACTAGGCACCTTATGTTTGTTGATTGATGTGTCTCTGTCTAATAACTCATATAGAACATTTTCTCACAATAATCCTGTGAGGAACTGATCTTTTCCAGAACTAGTTTTGAGTGAAAGTTAATTAGAATAAAGCCATTCCCCTTCCCCTTGTTTCCTCCCCCATCTCCTCCCACCCCTCATCTCCCATGAATGTCCAGCATGGTTCCAAGTAGAATGGAGAAGAATGTTAGATAATTTGGTAGGTGGTGGAGCTCAAGCATTTCTAAAACAAGGTCACCAAGTCCAAATCTTTTATTTTACAGATGAGGAAACTGAGGCACGGAGAGATTAAATGATTTAATTACATGATTGATTTGTGAGTTTTTGTCTAATAACATCCCCTTACTCTGAGCATTTTCACTGACTGTCCCCTATGCATAGAACGCTTTCCCTCCTCTTCTTTGCTTCCTGGCTTCCCTGACTTCTTTCAAGTTTCAGCAAAAAGCCTACCTTCTATAGGAAGACTTTCCCAATTCCTCTTACTTCTAGTGCCTTCCCTCTGCTGATTATTTTCTATTTCCAGGGTATATAGCATCATAAGGGTGGTGACATGACTGCTTATTTTAAAGAAAGCAGGCTAGCATACAAATGTGGGGCTAGTGACCACCTTTCTCTGACATGAATGTTAATTATTTTATGAGACCTATCAGCATCTTACAAGCCTAGTTAGTAGACCTGAGTTAGCAGACTCCCTGATGCGTAGAAGGGAGCTAGGTGACTCAGTAGATAGAGTGTTCGGCCCAGGGTCAAGAATACATGAATTCAAATCCAATCTCAGACCAGCTATTTGACCCGGGGCAAGTCACTAAATCCTGTTGGCTTCAGTTTCTTCATCCGTAAAATGAGCTGGAGAAGTAAATGACAAAACACTCCGATATCCTTGCCAAGAGGAAAAGCTGTGTTCCTGAACTTAACTCACGTACTGAGAAGTTGGCTTGAGCAATTATACAAAATGGGGCAGTAATACAGAATGGGGTTAATTACAGAATACAACCAATTATCAAATGATACAGAATAATTTTAATTTCCTTAATCATATGACATCTCCTTCAAAAACTTGAATAAAAAGAAGGTAGAAAAGTATGACTTTTCACCAGAGTGTTATAATATAGCTAATAGTGTTGTTCTGGCAGACAACAGTTCTCTTCTTCAATCATTCATTATTCAATCAGTAATAACTGATATTCTAAAATAATATTATTTATTTCTAGGTCTCTGGGGTCTAGTAAACAATGCAGGTCTAGGATTGTGTGGGGAGATGGAATGGATACCTTTTGAAGAATCAAAAAAAGTTTTAGATGTCAATATTTTGGGGAGCATCAGAACAACTCTAAAATTTCTTCCTCTTATAAAAAAGAGTCAAGGTGAGTCTGATATTTTTACTATTGTCAAATAATGGAACCTAGTCAGGGCTTTAGATGATATAGAGGTTAATTTCAAGCATTTACATTCCATACTATAGGAAAAGCAAATTGTCAACAAGGCTCCAAGATTCTGTGTTTGAGCTTACTCTTTCAGATCCAGAAACATGAATGATAGCTCAACAGTTATTATTAAAACAACATACTTCTTTTCACAGCCTAGCCTGGATGAACTTCTGTTCATAAAAATATGTGACCAGCTGTGGCAATGAATGTTAGGAATTAACTATTCAATCTGGTTTCTTATTCCCTGATCACAAGAGTGAATGAATATTACAGTCATACAATATAACAGAGGTGGGGAATCTGCAAGTGCAGCCCTTTGACTGATTCCAAACTTCAAAGAACAAACCTCTTCATAAAAGGATTTGTTCTGTAAAACTTGGATTCAATTAAAAGGCCTCACCCAAGGACCTAGAAGGCCACATGTGGCCTCAAGGCTGCAGGTTCCTTACCCCAGCAATATATATTCAGAAAGCATGCATAAGGACCTCTGGTTTGTACTATATTCTAATAAAAGCTGTGAAGATTTAAAAAGACTTGGAAACATAGTCCCAGGTTTCATAGAGCTTTCACCTAATAGGTGTTCCAAAAGTCTTAGTGTAGCTTTAAGCTTTAATAGCCTAAAACTGCTCTAAGATTTTTGGGATGCCCTGCATATTGTAGGAAGAAGAGAATCATAAAAGACACATCAATATAAACCAAGTAAAATGAATCAAAATATCGCCAAGCAAATATTCTGTGGAATGACAAATATGAAAATTATTAATGTGGAGTAAGGTAACAACAAATAGTTGTTTTAAAAGGTGATTCTTGAGTTAGATCTTTAAAAAAAATGACTACCTCAGAGATGAAGCAGCTGCAGCTTTCAAAAGATCCAGTTGCTTCCATTTCTAGCAAGATCTCTGGGGAAGAAAGGTTAGGGTTGTTGGCATACAGATCCATCACTGGGATTAGTCATCACTACAGGAACTCTGCCCTAGGGCACTAAAATTAAAAGTCCAAAAATGTAACCCTTGAATTGGTATAAAAATACTAGCTCAGAATTTAGTGCCTGGTTTGCTTTCTGGCCTGGATTTGAGATGTTATTGGTTTAGGAATCTACTGGTGGAGGAAAAAAAAAACCCAACTCCTCTTCCAATGCAAATCAACTTATTTTGGAATTCTTAGTCTTAAAGATGCATGGAGTTGCTGAAAGGTCTATTGATTTATTTAAGGTTACATGGCCATTATGTGTCAGGTGAGACTTGCACACCTAATTCTTAAGCCTGCCATCTGCCCACTATGCCAAACTGCTTCTATTTAGCACCTACTTAGAAAGAGTGATTAATTAAAATATGAAGCTACCAGATAGATCATCAGTGTTATTAAAAGTATTGATGTATGTATAAACATAGTTCGGAATGTTGTCATGATCAAATGAGATACTTGGTGGAAAGTACTTTGCAAATGTTAAAGTAGTATATAAATGCCAGTTGATGTTATTGTTATTGTTGTTATTAGGTGTTATTAGCCCATAGCCACCAGGCCTCACCAATCTTGTGATGACTTCATTGTCTGGAGCATTTCTGCTGAGCTCAAGCAATTTTTATAGAGCAATACAGAAGTGTGATAAATGTTTAACAATAAGAGGGATGAGGGGGGTGTATGGACACACTCTTTTAAAAAAAACTGACATAATTGTGATTTATTAACATGAAATAAAATTCCCAATCAGTGCTACAATGTAACATATTTTAATATCAGTAATTTTAATATTAATTTTACTAATTAATTACTAATGCTAATATTGATTTAATATTAGTAATTTTAATAATAGTACAGTAAAATTTAAATGTCATATAATATACTACTAATATACTACTTTCAAAAAGATTATAGAGACTTTTTTCATCTGCATTATTAACACATTTTTAGTTCTAGTCAATAGAACAATAAATCAAAGATTGATTTGTATCAATTGCTGCTTTCTGAAGTGTAATTTAACATTTGGCTCTCTCAAACTGGTCAGAGTTGGCTCCAGCAAACCCTGACCTTACTAAGGGCATCTCTTGCCTAGTGAACTGAATTTATTTTAACTATTTTTTATATTACTTTCACATATAATACCTTAACAGCAGTAACCATTTATATTAAACTATTTATTAATTTTTAGTTTTCAACATTCATTTACATAATATTTTTTCAAATTTTCTTCCCCTCCCTCCCCTCCCCCTCCACAAGATGGCATGCAATTTGATATAGGCTCTACTTATTCTTATTAAGCATATTTTCACATTAGTCTTGGTGTAAAGAAGAATTAGAACCAATGGGAAGAACCATGAGAAAGAAGAATCAAAATGAAAAAACAAAAGAAAGAGAGAACAAATAATATACTTCCATCTGCATTCAGATTCTACAGTGCTTTATCTGGATGTGGATAGCATTTTCCACGATGAGTCTTTTGGAATTGTCTTAGATCCTTGCATTGCTGAGAAGAGCTAAGTCCAGCAAAGTCAGTCATCTCATAATGTGACTGTTACTGTGTACAATGTTCTCCTGATTCTGCTCAATTCACTCAGCATGAGTTCATGCAAGGCTTTCCGGGTTTTTCTAAAATCTGCCTGCTCACCATTTCTTATGGAATAGTATTCCATTTCATTCATATACCACAACTTGTTCAGCCATTCCCCAACTGATGGGCATCTCCTCAATTTCCAATTGTTGGCCACCACAAAAAGAGCTGCTACAAATATTTTTATACATGTGAGTCCTTGTCCCATTTTTATGATCTCTTTGGGATACAGACCTAGAAGTGGTATTGCTGGGTTAAAGGGTTTTTTATAGCCCTTTGGGCATAGTTCCAAATTGCTGTCTCCAGAATGGCTGGATCAGTTCACAACTCCACCAACAATGCATTAATGTTCCAATTTTTCCACATCTTTTGCAACATTTATCATTTTCCTGTTTTATCATGTTAGCCAATCTGATAGGTGTGATGTGGTACCTCAGAGTTGTTTGATTTGCATTTCTCTAATCCAAAGTGATTTAAAGCATTTTTTCATATGACTATAGATATCTTTAATTTTTTCCTCTGAAAACTGCATATTCAGATCCTTTGACCATTTATCAATTGGGAAGTTACTTGTATTCTTGTAAATTTGATTCAGTTCTCTATATATTTTAGAAAGGAGACCTTTATCAGAGACACTGGTTGTAAAAATTATTTCCCAGCTTTCTTCTTCCCTTCTAATCTTGGTTGCATTGGCTTTGTCTGTGCAAAAATTATTTAATTTAATGTAATCAAAGTCATCCATTTTGCATTTCATAATGTTCTTCATCTCTTGTTTGGCCATAAAGTCTTCCCTTCTCCACAGATCTGATAGGTAAACAATTTCTTGGTCTCCTAGTTTGCTTACAATGTCAGTCTTTATATCTAAATCATGTACCCATTTTGATTTTATCTTTGTATAGGGTGTAAGATGTTAGTCTATGCCTAGTTTCTGCCATACTATTTTCCAGTTTTCTTAGCAGTTTTTGTTAAATAGTGAGTTCTTATCCCAGAAGTTGGAGTCTTTGAATTTGTCAAATAATAGATTATTATAGTAATTGACTCTTGTGTCTTACATACCTAGCCTATTCTACTGATCCACCAGTCTATTTCTTTGCCAGTATCAAGTAGTTTTGATGATTGCTGCCTTATAATACAATTTAAGATTTGGTACAGCTAGACCACCTTCCCTTGCATTTCTTTCCAATAGTTCCCTTGATATTTTGAACCTTTTGTTCTTCCAGATGAATTTTGTTATTGTTTTTTTCTAGCTCTATAAAAGTATTTTTTGGTACTTTGATTGGTATTAATTTACTTATTACTGAGTAAGTAAACTAATTTAGGTAGAATTGTCATTTTTATTATATTAGCTCACCCTACCCACAAGCAACTGATATTTTTCCAATTATCTAGATCTGACTTTATTTGTGTGAAAAGTATTTTGTAATTGTGTTCATATAGTTGCTGAGTTTGTTTTGGTAGGTAGACTCCCAAATATTTTATAGTGTCTACTGTAAGTATACCATCATATCATCTTCAAACAGTAATAGCTTTGTCTTTCTTTGCCTATTCTAATTCCTTCAATTTCTTTTTCTCCTCTTACTGATAAAGCTAACATTTCTAGTACAATATTGAACAACAGTGGTGATAATAGACATCCTTGTTTCACCCCCGAACTTATTAGAAATGCTTCTAGCTTATCCCCATTACATAAAATGCTTGCTGGTGGTTTTTGATAAGTGCTATCTATCATTTTAAGGAATACTCCATTTATTCCTAGGCTTTCTAGTGTTTTTAATAGGAATGGGTGTTGCATTTTGTCAAAAGCTTTTTCTGCATCTATTGAGATAATCATATGATTTCTGTTAATTTCGTTTTGACATGGTCAATTATGCTGATAGTTTTCCTAATATTGAACCAGTCCTTCATTCTTGGTATAAATCCTACCTGGTCATAGTGTGTTATCCTCTAGATAACTTGCTGTAATCTCTTTGCTAATATTTTATTTAGAATTTTTGTGTCTATATTCATTAGAGAAATTAGTCTATAGTTTTCCTTCTCTGTTTTGGCTCTTCCTGGTTTAGGTATCAGCACAATATTTGTATCATAAAAAGAATTTTGTAGGATTCCTTCTTCACCTATTTTCCCAAAGAGTTTATGTAGTATTGGAATTAGTTGTTCTTTATATTTTTGGTAGCATTCACTTAGGGAGTTCATTGATGGCTTGTTCGATTTCTTTTTCTGAAATGGGGTTAAGTATTTTATTTCCTCTTCTATTAATCTGGGCAATTTATATTTTTGTAAATATTCATCCATTTCAGTAATATTGTCAAATTTATTGGTATACAGTTGGGCAAAATGGCTTCTAATTATTGTTTTAATTTCCTCTTCATTGGTGGTAAATTCACCCTTTCAATTTTTTTTTACTGGTAATTTGTTTTTCTTCTGTTTTTTTTTAATCAAATCAACCAAAGGTTTATCTATTCTATTGTTTTTTTTCATAAAACCAGCTCTTAGCTTTATTTATTAGTTCAATTGTTTTCTTAATTTCAATTTTATTAATCTCTCCTTTGGTTTTCAGAATTTCTAATTTGGTATTTAATTGGAGAATTTTAATGTATTCTTTTTCTAGCTTTTTAAGTTGCATGCTCAATTCATTAATTTCTTCTTTCTATATTTTATTCATGTAAGCATTTAGAGATATAAAACTTCCCCCTAAGAACCACTTTCACTGCATCCCAAAAGTTTTGGTATTTTGTCTAATTATTGTAATTCTCTTGGATGAAGTTACTGACTGTTTCTATGATTTCTTGTTTGACCCACTTGTTCTTTAGGATTAAATTATTTAATTTCCAGTTAATTTTTAGTCTATCTTTCCATGGCCCTTTATTGCATGTAATTTTTATTGCATCATGATCTTAAAAGGATGCATTTAATATTTCTGTCTTTCTTCAATCAACTGTGAGGATTTTATGCCCTAGTATGTGGTCAATTTTTGTGTAGGTTCCATGTATTGCCAAAAAAAAAATAATTTTGAAATTTGGCTACAATATTCTTTGGTGTTTTCAATTTGGGATCTCTTTCAGGAGGTGATTGGTGGATTCTTTCACTGACTATTTTACCCTCTGGTTCAAGGACTAGGCAGTTTTCCTTGATGATTTCCTGAACAGTTCTGTCCACGCTCTTTCTTTTCATCGTGGTTTTCAAGTAGACCAATAATTTTCAAATTGTCTCTCCTGGGTATATTCCTTTTTATCCCCATTCAGTTTTCTCTAGAGGTCAACCATATTTAACTTTTCTAAAATTCTATTCACCTCCTTACCTTCTTTCTCGTTTATTTTGTGGTTAGATTTATATAATTCTGAGATGGGGAGGTTGAAGTTCCTCTACTAGTATAGTTTTGTTATTTTTTTCTTCCTGTAACTCCCTTAATGCCTCCTCTAGAAATGTGGATGCCATACCACTTGGTGCATACGTTTAGTAATGATATAACTTCATTGTCTATGGCGCCTTTTAGTAGGATGTAGTTTCCTTCCTTATCTCTTTTAAACAGATCTATTTTTGCTTCTGCTTTGTCTGAGATCAGGATTGCTACCTCTGCTTCTTTTTATTTCAGCTGAAGCATAATATATTCTGCTCTAGCCTTTTACTTTTACTCTGTGCATACCCCTCTGCTTCAAATGTGTTTCTTGTAAACAACATATTGTAGGATTATGGTTTTTAATCCACTCTGCTATCTGCTTCCCTTTTATGGGAGAGTTCATCCCATTCACATTCACAGTTATGATTACTATCTGTGTCTTTCCATCCTATTTTCCCCTGTTTATGCTTTTCTTTCTCCTTTCTCCATTTCCCTCCTCACTAGTATTTTGCTTTTGGCCACCACCCTCAGTCTTCCTCTCTTCTATTAGCCCCTCCCCCTTTTCTTCCCTTTTACCCTTACTACTTCTTCCCTCCCTTCTATTCACTCCCTTCCTTTTCTTTTCCCTTTCCCCTCCTACTTCCTATAGGGTAAGTTAGATTTCCATACCTAACTGATTGTGTTATTCCCTCTTTGAAGCAAATCTGATGAGAGTAAGTTTCAAATAATGCTCATCTCCCTCTCTTCTTTCCCTCTACTATAATAGGTTTTTGTGGCTTTTCATGCAATGTAATTTACCCTTGTCTGCCTCCTTCTTTCCTTTTCTCCTAGCACAATCCCTTAATCAGATCCACTTAATCCACTTAATTAGTTTTTTTATCATTACATCAAAGTCAACTCATGCCCACCCCATTCATCTGTGTATACTCCTTTTAAATGTCATAATAACAGTACAATTCTCAAGAGTTACAAGTGTCATCTTCCCTTTTAGGGGAATGTAAACAGTTTGCCCTTATCAATAACATGTTGTTTTTTTCTATCCTGTTTACCTTTTTATGACTCTCTAGAGTCTTGTATTTGAAGATCAAATTTTCTGTTGAGCTCTGGTCTTTTCATCGGAAAGGTTTGTATGTCCTTAATTTCATTGAATGTCCATCTCCACCCCTGAAAGATTATGCTCAATTTCTCTGGATAGTTCATCCTTGGTTTTAATCCAAGCTCCTTTGCCTTTCAGAATATTGTATTTCACACCCCATGATCTTTCATTGTAGAAGCTGCAAGGTCCTGTGTAACCCTGACTATGGTTCTATGCTATTTAAATTGTTTCTTTCTGGCTGCTTGCAGTATTTTCTCTTTGACCTGGTAATTTTGGAATTTGGCTACACTATTCCTTGGTGTTTTCAACTTGGGATCTCTTTCAAGAGGTGATCAGTGGATCCTTTCGCTGACTATTTTTCCCTCTGGTTCTAGGACTTCAGAGCACTTTTCCTTGATGATTTCCTGTAAGATGCTGTCCAATCTCTTTCTTTTCATCATGGTTTTCAAGTAGAGCAGTAATTTTCAGATTGTCGGCCCTGGATCTATTTTCCAGGTCAGTTGTTTTACCAATGAGGTATTTTACATTTTCTTCTTTTTTTCATTCTTTTTTTTCTGTTTGTCTGATTCTTGTTCTGTCATGGAGTCATTAGCTTCCATTTGCCCAATTCTAATTTTTAACAAATTGTTTTCTTCTATTGGATTTTGTACCTCCTTTTCCATTTGGCCCATTTTACTTTTTAAGGAGTTATTCTCAGTAAGTTTTTGTGCCTCCTTTTCCATTTGGCCAATTTTGCTTTTTAAGGAGTTGTTTTCTTCAGTGTATTTTTTTTCCAGTTGGCCAACTGTAGTTTTTAAAGACTCATTTTCTACAGTTAATTTTTGTCCTTCCTTTTCCAAGCTATTGACTCTCTCTTGCATACCTCTCATTTCTTTGCCCAATTTTTCTTCTACCTCTTGTATTTGACCTTTAAAATCCTTCTTGAGCTCTTCCAAGAAGGCTTTTTGGGCTTCAGACCAATTCATATTCCCTTTTGAGGTTTCCAATGTGGGTATATTAACAACATTGTCCTCTTCTGAATTTCTGCCTTGATCTTCCTTCTCCCCATAATAAGAATCTCTGGTCATTGTCCATTTCTTTTTGATCATGGTGTTTGCTTATTTCCTGACTTTTAAAAAAAATTGAGCTCCCCTGCTGGAGAGCAGGGGGCACTGACCCAAGCTTCTTGTGCTGGGAGCCCAGGGCCTGGTCATTGGCTTTGTGTGCTGGGGGCCCAGGTACTGGCATTTGGAAACTGTAGGGCTCTGGCAGCTTTCCTGGTATTGGGCTGGGATCAGCAACACTGGAGCTCTAGGGGTAAGGGTGGGGAGTCTAGTCTCTCAGGGATGTCTGCTCACCTGGGCCTTGTGTTCCTTTCTTTGGGTCCTGCTCACCAGGGCCTTGCACAGGAATGTTTCACTGCTAGAGGATGTCTGTAAGCCAGGAGATTTACCTCTTGAGTTGTATTTCCCAGAGTTTTCATGAGGCACAGGAAGATTTGGCTGCTGGAGAATGCCATCACACAGGGTGGTTTTCTGAGCTGGGGTCTACAGGTTCCCTGCCTGTACTTAGGCACTTAGGGGTTCTGGTGTTGGTGCTTGCCTGTTCCACCACCCTGGGGTTCAGGATCTCCCCTGGTATGCTGAGGTGGGGCTGTCTGCGGGCTTGCTGGCATGCCTCCCATTCTGTACTGCTCCCCCTCCCTGTGCCTTTTCCGTTAATCCCCCAAGCTTCCTGGGTTACAAGACTGCTGCACCATTTCTTTCTGCTGGTTCAGCTGTTTCAGGGTTTTTCTGGAGCAATATTTTCTGGGCTTTCAAAGGTCCATAAGGGAGGGTGAGAGTGAATTACTTCTTACTCTGCCATCTTAGTTCCCAGAAGGTGACTTCTTCATTTTGTCTTTATATCCCCAGTGCCTATGCACTGTAGGTACTCCATAAATGCTAGTCAATTCATCAGTTGATCATAAATTACAACATTAAGTAATGTCACTTTCCCTAGATGCCAAAATTGTTAGTTACAGGTCTATGGCACGGTGGTGAAATTAAGAGTCTGAAGACCTGAGTTCAAAACCTGCCTCATACACAATAGCTTTGTGATCAGGGGCAGATCATCTAAACTCTCAGGGTCCCAGACAACTCCCTAAGACTATAAGTTGCCAAAAAATGATCGATCTGCATCAGTGGAGATAGTTTCCACACTGGGAGTTTCCTAAATGGATGAAATCACAGAGCTAGACTTCCTCTGATCCCACTAGAAAAAAAATGCTAGTCTTTTTTCTTTTTATGTTTTTGTATGTTTGTTGTTTTGTGTATATGTGTGTTTGATTTGTTTTATAGTATTTGAGATTTGATTATTTAAATTTTTAACTATTATTTTTGACTTTAGACTCTCCCATTTCTGGGCACTCCTTGGAGATCCAGAAGATAACAGGTGGTCAAAAAGCTCTATATACATTCAAGTATCACAGAAATCTCAGTTAAGTCAGAAAATAAAGAATCAAGATCCTCCAGCTATTACCTGGAACATCAACCACATAAATGACAATCTTTCTTCTGAATTTTGAGACCTCATCATGGAAAGTAGTTGAATCAGTACATAAACTAAATATGGCACTGAGTTTTATAGGACTTTTTCAAAAAGATGATAGGAGGAAGGGATATTCTTAAAATCAATTTGAAACTTATAGTTCCCAATCTGTTATTGGCAGCTAGATAATGCAAGTCTGGTACCCTGGGTTATTTTTAAACTACAACTATCCATTGATTATTAATTCTCCTACCTGAAAAGAAAGCATCTACTGTAATTGACCTTTCTTCCATATTATTTAATACTGAGAATGTCAACAAAAAGATATGGTTGATATCACTTAGTCAATGGGATTTAGCTTAGTTCGTTTTTAAAAAGATGGGTCAATGATCCAAACCTTTCTCCACTTTGTCTGTCAGAGGTGGTTCATATTTTTTTCCTTTTTTTTTTTAGACAATTGGGGTTAAGTGACTTGCCCAGGGTCACCCAGCTAGTAAGTGTCAAGTGTTTGATCTGAGGTCAGATTTGAACTCAGGTCCTCCTGACTTCAGGGCTGGTGCTCTATCCACTGTGCTACCTAGCTGCCCTGGTGATTAATATTTTACAATGCCTTATTTTAATATACACATCGTTATTCATTGCCTTGTCTCATGTACAGGGAAAGTTTTTTTTTTAACCAAGAGCTGATCAAATTCCATCCTATGCTTTTTCATATGCTGTTACTCCAAAAATAATATTATATTCATTGAGCTGAAACTTGGGAGGTAGAGCTGAGATATGTAAGTTCATTCTATTCAATTCATTTCTTTACTTCATTTATCAATCTACCATGAGTCTTTAACCACTACAAGCTATGTATGGGTCAAATTGCATAACCTTTTTTTCCCTTTTTAAAAAAAATATTTATTTTTAGTTTTTAATATTCACTTCCACAAGGTTTTGAGTTCTAAATTTTCTCCCTCTCCCTTTTCTCCCCCTTCCCCAAGACAGCATGCATTCTGATATAGGCTACACATATACATTCATATTAAACATATTTTCATATTAGTCATGTTTGTAAAGAAGAATTAAAACCAATGGGAGGAACCACAACAAGGAAGAAACAAAAAAGAAAAAAAAAGAGGAGCAAATAGTATACTCCAATTTGCATTGAGACTTCATAGGTCCTTTTCTGGATGTGGATAGCATTTTCCATCATAAATCTTTTACAGTTGTCTTAGATCATTGCATTGCTGAGAAGAGCTAAGTCTGTCAAGATTAGTCATCGCACAATGTTACTCTTACTTTATACAATGTTCTCCTGATTCTGTTCACTTTACTCAGCAACAGTTCACGTAAGTCTTTCCAGATTTTTCTGAAGTCCACTTGCTCATTATTTCTTATAGCACAATAGTATTCTATTACATTCATGTACCACAGCTTGTTCAGCCATTCCCCAACTGATGGGCATACCCTCAATTTCCAATTCTTGGCCACCACAAAAAGAGTTGCTATAAATATTTTTATACATGTGGATCCCTTTCTCATTTGTATGATCTCTTTGGGATACAGACTTGTAAGTGGTATTGTGGGTCAAAGGGTGCACTCAGTTTTTATAGCCCTTTGAGCATAGTTCCAAATTGAGCTCTAGAATGATTGGATTAGTTCACAACTCCACCAACAATGCATTAGTGTTTGAATTTCCCTACATGTTCTCCAACATTTATCATTTTCCTGTTTTGTCATGTTAGCCAATCTGATAGGTGTGATGTGGTACCTCAGAGTTGTTTTGATCTGCATTTCTTTAATCAATAATGATTTAGAGTATTTTTATATGACTATAGATATCTTTAATTTCTTTATCTGAAAACTGCCTGTTCATATCTTTTGACCATTTATCACAAATTGCAAAACCTTAATATCAGTTCCTGGGCTGCTACAGTTTTTATGCTCCCATCAAAACACCACTGCTAAAATCATAACGAAAAATCATGCAATGGTTTTGTGGAAGAAGCAGGAACATTCTCGAGTTGTGTCAAGAAAATTTTTTAAAAATTTGTTACTACAGTAAACCCTTTGGCACAACTATTTAGAAAATTAGATACATATCTTCTTGCTCTAGGAAATAGGAAGATGAGCATCTTATTTTAAGAGGATAACATTGTTTCTAGTTGTTGCTGTTTTGTTTTGGGGTTTTTTTTTGTTTTGTTTTGTTTTAGTCTTTGACTCAAAGTAATCTAAATAAACAGTTAGACTCCTTACGTATCAGCAAACTTGAGTCTGAATATGGGGCCTGCTTCTAATTCGCTCATTTCTAATGTCTGCTAGTATCTATAGGGCAGCTGGGTGGTACAGTGGAAAAAGTGTCAGGCCTGGAGTCAGGAAGACTCATCTTCCTGAGTTCAAATATGGCCTCAGACACTTACTAGCTCTGTGACCCTGAGTAAGTCATTTAGCTCTGCTTGCCTCAGTTTCCTCATCTGTAAAATGAGCTAGAGAAGGAAACGGTAAACCACTCCTGTATCTTTGCCAAGAAAAACCCAAATGAGGTCACGAAGAGTCAGACATGATTGAAATGACTGGACAACAAGAAGAATCTATTCCCTCTGCTCTTTTTGAATGTTCTCCTCTTTTTTTTCTAATCCTAAATTAGGCTATTTCCTATTATGTAGACTTGTAGACTGTAGACATAACCTTGTAGACTACTTCAAATCACTTTGGAAGTCAGCAAAGCAAATGATAAATAAATTGTTTAACAGATTATTTTACATCAAACTATCCAAATGTAATGTGAAATTCAAATTATTACCATCAGCCAACCCTTAAGCAATTTGTCACCTTTGACCTTTCTAGTCAAATCATTTGTGTTAATAGAACCATTCAAATATTTTTTCCCTTTATTTCACTGTTGTCTCCAAATACAACAAGCACTTTAATTAATGTGACTGTGAATAAATCTTGAAAAAAATGCCAGAGTGGACATATCCTTTCCTAGAATTTCTTTGTTGGAAAGATTCTAATATTTTGGTCTTGAACACAGCAACACAGAAAGAATTTGGATACACTTTTATAGCACCCCAACTATAGGTATCCTTAAAACTCCCTGTGCCCCGTTATCCATTTGATTTTGCTACTGCCAACCAGTCCACAAAATATCAGCTTGGACTAGCATAGTGTAGGAGAATACACACAGGTAGCCTCACCTACATTGTCTTCTCTAAGTAGCAGAGGGTCAAATATGATGTCATGATACGGTTCTTATAAGGAATCCCTAGGTAATAGATCTCCCATAGTGTAGTGCATAACTCATAAATATCAATTGAATAGATGAACAACTTTCTGCACTAAGATAAAATGAATTGGCCCTAAATCCCAAGATTGGCTGATCATTGGGAATACAGTGATAGAAAAAAAAAGGAAGAATATTTATCTGTCTGTCTTAAACTCTTTAACCCTTACTATATACCTTTCTAAATTATTCTCTATTTGAGATATATAGATATAATATATCTATATATCTTTTGTTTATCTAATAAAATATAAAAATAACTTTTTGTTAATAATCTCATTATTCTAGATGTACTAAAAGCTTCTGAAGGGCTAGTACATATTGTATATCTCTTTTAAGTTCTTCACAATGAGCAATGTAGTATCCTGCCCATAATAAGTGCTTGGTAAATTTGTTGATTTGATTATAATAGATGTGATCTTTCTTTTAGGACGTTTAGTCTTCATGTCTAGTATAAGTGCATTTAAAGGATTCGGAAGTGCCTCCTATTCTTTATCCAAAATTGCATTGGAAAAATTTGGTGATGTCTTACGTGTTGAACTAAAGAAATCTGGAGTTAAGGTAAGTTATTTTATTAATTTCTCTACCCATTAAAATAATTCCACAATTAAAATCATGGTTTTCCAGCATACCTGAACACCTCTACTTTAGAAATGGACAGCTTTTCTATTTACATGGGAAAATTAGTCTGGAATGTAAACTAGAGAGAGGAAGCAACTGGATGTTGCCCCCTAAGGTTTCAATGACTTACACTAAGGGGTTAAGGACAATGGATGTGAAGCATTTCACCCTACCAATTGTGAACCCACATTGGCTCATAGAACTGACATCTCTCTGATGCCATATTTCTTTAGGTGGCTGATTCTATGGAACTGTTTAGGAAAGAACACACTTAAATCTTGGGTAATGATGAAGAATATTCCTATTAGTTCTTACTATTCAGTGCCTCATAAGTCTCCTCTGAGATGCAAAATTAATACATTAATGCCCTTCCTGATTATCACCAATAAAGAGAGTCACAAAGGAGTGACTTCTTATAACTCAAAATTAACCTAATCAAAATATATCTTGTGATATAATATAAAATGTTAATATAAATAAATATGCTCTGTATTAATTTCTAGTTGGATATTTCTGGCATGGAAGAAATAATCCATAATGTTAAAGAATGTTAAAGAAAAGATATGAATACTCTGTGTTTTGGTCACAGGTCTGTCAGAAACACTTTGATTAACTTAACATCGTTCTAAATCTATGCATCTCCAATTTAAAGAAAGAAATATTCAAATTGATATAGTCTACCAATGTCCTCAGACATCTCTCACAAACCCAATACCATTTGATTTATAGCCATCTTGAAGAAGAAAAAAGGTCACAATATGTTAAATTATAGATTAGGGTTTAATATTCTATTTCAATAAATAGAACAATAATTACATAATAATTACTTAATTCCTTCTTTGATCACTCACCTAAATTATACTCCTAGAAAAATCAAAAGGGATCTCCCTGTGATCAATATCTTAATCTTTTTTGATTTCTATTACCAAATTAGTATCTATCTATTTATTTATCGATATATCATCTTCAATCTTTGAAAAAATTTAGATGTGAGTGTGGTTCAAGCTTTGCCCAACCTAACCCCCCATTTTCCCCTCCACTGTAAAAGTTTTTCCTTGTGAGCCCCTTTTATATGAGGTAAATTTCTCCATCCTTCATCCCTTCCCCCTCTTCCTAGGGGATCTCTTTTTCTTGCTTATCCATTTTTTGTATCAGTCAACATAGTCAAATCACTCCCACACCTTCTTTCCATGTAGAATCCTTCTAACTACCCTAGTAATGATAAAGTTTTTTTTACATGTATCATCTTCCTGGATAAAAAGGTACAGTTTAACTTTATTGAGTCCCTCGTTATTTCTCTTTCATGTTTACCTTTTTTATGCTTTCCTTGAGTTTTATATTTGAAAGTTAAATTTTCTATTCAGCTCTGGTCTTTTCATCAGGAATGCTTGAAAATATTCTATTTCATTAAATATCCATTTTTTTCTCTTGAAAGATTATATTCAGCTTTGTTTGGCTGTAATCCCAGCTCTTTTGCCTTCCAGAATATTATATTCTAAGCCTTCCACTTTTTTAATGTAGCAATTGCTAAATCTTGTGTGATCTTGACTGTGGCTCCATGGTATTTGAACTATTTCTTTCTGGCTTATTAAAACATATTTTTTTCTTTCACCTGGGGGTTTTGAAATTTGGCTATAATATTCCTGGGAGTTTTCATTTGGGGATCTCTTTCTGATGATGATTGATGGATTTTTTTTTCATTTTTTAATAATATTTTATTTTTCCCCAATTACATGTTAAAACAGATGTTTCTTTTTAAAGTTTCGAATTCCAAATTCTATCCCTCCCTTCCTCCATGATCTCCCCCTTCCCTGAGATAGTCAGCAATAAGATATAGGTTATACATGTTCAATCATATAAAACTTTTCCATATTAATCATTTCGTACAAGAAGACTCAAATTTTAAAAAAAAGAATTAAAGAAAGTAAAGAATAGCATGCTTTAGTCTGTATTCAGACAATATCAATTCTTTCTCTGGAGAAAGAAAAAGAAAGAAAGAAAGAAAGAAAGAAAGAAAGAAAGAAAGAAAGAAAGAAAGAAAGAAAGAAAGAAAGAAAGAAAGAAAGAAAGAAAGA